AACTTATTTTACATTTTAATAATATATAATTTGAATAGATCACTTGAAAGATTTAAGATTTATTTTATTTTCATTCATTAGTAATAGTAATTGTCTATCATCCACACGTGAAATGGGAAAGATAGAAGAAAGAGATGTTAGGGTTATGTGGGTAATTTGAAGATTGTATAAAAATATTAAGGGCAAAAAGGTAAAAATGTGGCTAACTTAAAACAGCTTATAAGCTGGGGGGAAAAAAACACCCCTACCCCAGCTTTTAACTTTTGCCTTAAAATAAATTTTTTTTAAGTTAAAATAAGTTGTTTTGAGTATTACCAAACAGCTAAAAAAGTCAAAAACCAGCTTTTAAGTCAGTTTGACCAGCTTTTAAGCTGAGCCAAATAGGCTCTAACTCTTATTTTTATTTAATATTTATCAACTTATTACTTGTATCATTATGTTAACAATACATACAATAATTGTCTCACTTAATATTTTTCAATGTTGGATAAAATCTTACCTAAAACTAATAACTGAAAAAATAATGTTAAGTACTAATAATTTTCATCTTAGTAGTGTATTTTTTAAAAAAAAAAATATGTATATGAACTATATTTATTTTAGGATGTGAACTGAAATTTACTTTAGACCCCCAATTACGTTAAGTCGCCCTTGATTGAGGGTACAATTTGTTACATTGTTTCAAGCTATAATTGTACATTACACATTTAATTTGGATAAAAATATCCACAACAAGAGTTTTAATTATGACAAATAACAAATCATCAAATCAAAATATACACCAAGAACATCATCTATAAAAAAGTAAGTGTGTGTGTGTGTGCGCGCGCGTGTGCGTGCGTGCGTGCGTGCGTGCGTGCGTGCGTGCGTGCGTGCGTGCGTGTGTGTGTGTGTGTGCGCGTGCGTGCGTGCGTGCGTGCGTGCGTGCGTTCGTGCGTGCGTGTGTGTGTAATAAGTTTGTCAGTTCAGAAAATATCCTATTATTTATTGTTCAATAGAAGTCATTTGCATATGTTAGTTGTTCATCAAATTTCGTGTTTACTCTTGTACTTTAAATTTGCGTCACACATTGCAATGCATTTTTAATATGATTTGTATGACACATAATAGTGGTCTCATACGACGCACATGTCCAGAATTAGTAACACAAATAACAAGCAGAGAACACGCAAATACAAGACAATCATAACCATATAGATTCAAATAAGATGATACAATGCAATATGGTCAATGCATAAAAGTAGAAGCTCGATAAAAACCTTGAGTTGTCTGAAATGATAACTCGGACTTCTCAACATATTTAATGCAAGAGAAATATAACATGAAATTCAATCTATGGGTCGTCGTGGAGTACCTTGTCGAGCTTATAAGTTAGTACAAATAGATCTCGTTTTCATCCAAAACTTAATAAAATCAAGTATTTTCCTCGAACATGAACCAAAAGATTTTAGAGTATTTTTCATTTTTGGCATTAAGACCCCAGTATTGGTACATTTCCTCAAAAATATAGTAAAACAACAATCCGCTCAACAAGTGAAAAATCTTAGTAACATCATTTAAGTACCTTAGATACAACCTTTTCCCCCGTTTCAAGAAACAAAAACACCGAATGCAGATTTCATACTCACGATTACATACAAAAATACAGTCACCTCAATCACATTACACAACATTATAAGTAACACCCAAACTCCAGCTAGTCCAAGTCCAAGACCGTAGGCGAAAATAATACAACAATAAAGTAATAAATGCTCGAACATAGCTAAAAATGACACCAAAAAACCAAATTAATTTGAAGCATTCTAAGGATTCTATAACAACAATCATAGCTAAGGATGAGCCTAAATTAAGGCTTATTGGTTAAACGCTATGATAAATAATCCAAAAATTGTCAAAACTATGACGTAAGGATCATGTAAACCTAAAGTCTTATCCTACAGATGTCCTAACGGATCAATACTACTCAAAGTATTTACACTATCAAAATAAGACAAGTCTAAAGAGAAGAAACCATAACCTACCTTGAGTTTAATTGACAACCGATTTCACCTTCAAAAGCCCCTCCAAATCGCCAAGTCTTGATCACCTCCAATCCATAGGTCCAAGTATGTAGAATAACTCGTAGGTCCAATATGTAGAATCCAAGTCCAAGTTTAAAGTTTCATCAAGTCATGATGGCCTCTACGGGTCCCTTCTAGGGCCTGTAAACCACTCTATGACTTTTCATGTTCATTCGTAGGTCAAATATTTGAGACTTTATATTTTTCAAAACTCAAGCCAATCCTATGATTGCCTACCTACGACCCCTGTAGGACTTCCTATGGTTTTGTATAACCACTAGGTCACAAAAGCCATCGCTTTGGGTCCAAAAAAAACATATACATATTATTCAAAATCATTTAATTTTTTATTAAAAAAAATATGTAAGAAGTATAAAAAAATAGAATAGCGGTAAGTTTTCCCCACTTTTCTAAGGGAATGAAACATTTTCTGAAACTACTTTCCTTTAGTGGAAAATTGTGTTTTCTTATTTATCTCCTAAAAATTTAACCTCATATTAATATTTATATTATACTAATCTTTTTATTTTCTAGTTTATTATTTTTATCCTCAATACTGAACTCTCTTATTAAAAAAAATGATTTATTGTTGCTTACAAGTTCAAAAAAAAGGAACAAAATTTGTTTTTGAGTATCTTCTTCAAAATCTTAAGAAGTGCAATAAACAACCATTATATTGAAGGAACGCAACACCATTTCAACATTATTATGTCAACTTATCAAATCTGGAGTTTTTATTATTCTAATTTTATTTTATAATTTTTCTTGAACTTTTGTTATTGTTGATATTATTAGTTAGTAAGTATAGATATTCTCGTTTTAGTTATTATTAATAGAATAATATAAGTAGAAGATGATGATTTAATAGAAATACTCAATCAAATAAAAAAGACATAATTATTTTTCTAATGCATATATGCTTATAGAATAATGTTAACAATTCTTGTAACTATTGCCTCGACCGTAAGAAGTTTTTCAAAACTAAAATTGATAAAATCTTATCTAATATCAACAATGTGAAATTGAATGCATTAATTATATCATCAATTGAAAATGAATTACTAAGACAACTCGATTAGAAAACAACAATTAATGACTTCACCTCCAAAAAGACAAGAAAAATAGATTTTAAATAGGTAATATACATGACTATTTTTTTATTTTTTAAAAAAAAAAAATTAAAAAAATATTAGGACTCTTTGTCTTTTGGCCCCAAATCTTGTTGAGGGTTTCATTGATGGGTTCATCCAAATTTAATTGGAAAAGAATCTGTGAACCATTCACGATAATGAAGAATTGAACCCAGTGGCCGACATTTTTTAATGGTTAATATAAGTGAGAGTTGAGAAGAAATATGAAAAATGACCCCTAAAAGTAAAATAAGTGAGGAAATAAATTTTGAACATAGACACACAACTACTACTTATTAATTAAAAAAAAAAAATAGGACCACAGTTTTCACAAAAAATGTGCACCACATATATGGAAAAGAAAATAAATATTGCAGCAAAAAGAGAAATCTCTCCATTTAAACATTAATAATATTAAGTTAATTTTAGAAAGAAAAAAAACATTCTCTTTCATTTTAGTCCGGATCAAAATTATGTCAGCTTTGTAAAGAAGAAACTTTTCAAGCCTCTTGTGTGTGCCTAGTAATTTACGTAGAATAACTATGTCTTCGGGCTGAAATAGTAAACAACTAATTTTTGGACACGTATTTTGCACATATATTTTATGTGAATTTTTATAAATTTGTTAGGATTTATGAAAATGTATATGTAGAGAGTAATAAAATTCAGTACTTACGAATTAACTTTTTATAATATGACAAAAAAAATACCAAATGAGGTGTATTTTGATATTTAAAATTAATTTCTTGTAAACATCTAACCGTGAATTTTAAATTTTGTTATTAGTTAGCAAACTTTCAATAACAAATTAATGACTAATTTGAGCTCAAATAAAAATATAAATTTTATAAGTTTAATAGGGAGAAAATACAAAAATAATATAGAAAAGAAAAATATAATGTACACATTCTTCTTAGGACTGTAATCATAACGATATTGATAAAAAGGAAAATATAGAATTCGTACAGTATTTTTCAAATTCATGTTGGCTCCTTCTTCCATATACCCTTCTTCATCTTGATAAAGTAAAGCATGAATCAAATACTATAATACTAATATAAGCACTTCACTAATTCAACTATAAAATGAAAATGATAACCTTGAGTAGAGATCACATGAAACAAAAAAAAAGATTTATATAGATAAAACTAGAGGTCCATCAAAACATATCTTAAAATTTTAAATTAGTTAATATTTGAAGGTTATGAACATAAAAAATGTAAGAGTTATAGATCTGGAGAGTAATAATTGAATAGGCGACTAAATATAAGATTTGGAGGTGAACATTTCAAGAAAATAACAAAAATAATAATCATAAATGAAAGGGTATAAATTTCATTATTTTAAGAACTAATAGTAACAAATGTATGAAACTAATAATAAATACATAACACATGGTATATAAATATTTTTTAAAAAATAATTTGAATGTATTAAGCTTCTATTCATTTAGCTTTAAATAATGAATATTACACCTATTTTCTATTGAATTTAAGATATTTAATAATAACTATTTGGGTTATGAATTTGAAAAGACATAAAAATAATAGAGATTATTAAAAAGAAGAGTTATGAAGATGGTAAGGCACAAGATCAATGAATATAGGTATTGTAAATGAATAGGTGTAGTTATTTAGTTGATTTTAAATGAAAAAAGTAATTACTTAAAATAATTTTAAGAAAATAAATAAATAGGTAAGGGATATTTTCCTAAACTCAACTTTTGACTAAGATTTTATATATATATATATATATATATATATATATATAGAGAGAGAGAGAGAGAGAGATAGATAGAGAGAGACAGAGAGAGAGATTCAAATTTTAAAAAAACTTTCTCTAATCTAATGACTTTGCATATGTAGTTCCATTTTGTCATGGTATTATCACTATGTTACTCAAACTCTTCAAAAAGGTCAACGGATCATACGTGTCAAATTCTCAAAATAGTGTAATTTTTTGTCACAGTGTTTACGGTGATTATCTTTGGTTAGATGACAATTGTAGTATAAGATATTGTCGTGATTAGGTTGTTGGGCTAGCACTTTCAGGTTTGTTTTCTTTTCTCGGTCTCTTAATCAATGTAACATATTCCTTCAACATTGTTTACATGTACTACCATGTGATATCTCTTCGTTGGGTACTTGTGTTGTACTTTTACTTACTTGTTATTTATACTTGCACTGTAGGAGCTCATTCGGCCTATGTCTACTAAGAAATGCTTATTTGTATTTATACTACACCTCTGCACCCTGCGGATCATACTAAGATCTTGTCATTAATATGGATCATGTGCAAAATAACTTTTAGGGTTCGGAGACTGGGTTAGCTCCCAACACTCTGAGTTGTCGATTTCCCCTATTTTGTCTTGGACTGAACATCTTGTATTCAGACACTATTAGTATGTATTTTCTATTTGTAAATGTCTCGTACTCCTGTTCTAATTAACATCATGTGGGTTTGTTTTGTTCTGTATATACATGTTTGCTTCTCCTTCTTTTTGTTGTATTATGTGCATCAATATACCATTACAGTTGATTTAACATAAAGACTTAGTAGAGATAAATTTAAATGGACGGTGTTCATTTTACACTCATTTTAGATAAATAATACTAAAATGAATATTGTCCAGTTATGATGTTTAAGTAAAATATTATGCCAATTTGAGGGGGCCACCGATGAATTAAGCCTCGATTTAATATAAAGACTCAAGGGTAGATAAATTTTAATCTAAGCACAGCATGTAAGACTATCTTTGAAAAGAAAAAAATGACCAAATGCCCCCATCTTCCCCTTTTTAACCTATTATTGAACTTTTAACACTTTTTTCACAATTTTGTTTTGGTCCTACCTGCACATTGACAAAACATATCCATATGGATTAAATGGCAAATTATATCATGCTATCACATTTTAAAGTCATGTCATTTAACACACATAAAATAAATTTTTAAAAAAATAGAAGTCAAATAGAAAGGGTTTTGACCAATTAAAAAACAAATTATTTTGAAGATTTCACCCCCCACCCACCCCCTCCCACCTTGATCATCTTCTTCATAAAGAATTTCTCACCACAACACAATCATCTTCTTCAGATTTCTCCTTTTCCATTTTCTTTTTGTCCATTTCCCTATATAGTTATCTTCCCCGCCATATTCCTCCATTTTCATGGTTTTTTCGTAATATACACTTGATTTCATCGTCTTCTTCACCATACCTTTCTCCTATTTCTTCATTTAATTTGGTGTTTAGAATTGTAAATATGAAATTTGAGAAGTTATAATGGCGATGTGAATATATTAAAATCATGATTATATTGTAAAAAAAATTTATACTTAAATTTTATTCTTCATTTTTTTAAAAAAAGGGTTACATTCTTAAAGTTGTTTTGCTGAGCAATAAGTACTGTTTCGAGTTTTTTATATGCAAAATTTATCTTGCCATCAACTGGTGAGGTCAAGTATGTATTGTGTTCAATAATATTAACATTATATTTTCCCAACACAAATAATAGAAGTTTTGTTGGGTATGTAACAACAATTGATGGGAAATAGATGAAAATAGAGGAACTTGAAAAGTTGAGAACTTGAAGAGTTGAGAACTTGAAAAGTCCTCTTATGCTTTAAAAAAAGGCATTTGTCCCTCATTGGTGGTGGAAACAAAAATAAGAGAGTTTAAATATAGAAACAGTCCTATTAATTGTTAAGAGGGTTGGAAAGAGGGACCCACTTACGTCGTCGTTGTCGTCGCTCGCTCGGCTCGGCTTCGGCTTTAGAAAATGATCGATCGAGAGATTATTTTTTGGACAAAGTTTATTTTAATCATTTAATTAATAATTAGATTTGAATGATCAAAACGTTTTCAATTAATTAGTTGATAACATAAACGTTTTCAATTATTTAGTTGAAATTAATCGAAACGTTTCAAACTTTTAGTTGATTAACTCGACCCGATTTGGATCTGTGCGCAACCCGTTTGATTCAAAAACTTTCATATTTTATTTAAATTTCCCGCCATTTTGGAAATTACCATTCTGGAAGGTTGCACCATTCAGGAACAGTCAGTACCATTTGAAAGGTTGCAAACTTTCGTTAATGGTCGTGTAGATTCTGAAAGGGTTGCAACATTTCGGAACTTGTTCCTCTTGCCTATAAATGCAATTCATTCTTTAGAATTTTTTTCTTGCAAATTTTCTGATTTTCTTCTTCTTCTTCTTCTCCTGCACAAAAAAATTTTCTTCGTGTACTTTACTGTTGTTGAGTGGTTCGCTGACAGTAGAGTTTTCAATATCTATACGTTGGTGATTGAGATTATTTACCCTGGGAGGACATATTCCAATTCAAACCTCGGATACTAGAGGGGAATAATTTTCTTAAGGGGATACTGTGAGTTCAGTGGACTTGATGTTTTCCCTGTTAATTTTTTTTTAGATTTTGGTATGTGTTTCACAGATTTTAGTTTTTGTGAATTAAATGTTTGTTCTTCTTTCTTACCGATTCAGTAAATTTTCATTACTTTGTGTTTCTGTAAAATTTATTAGAATCAGTAATTCTGTTTTTTTGTAACACAGATTGGCAACAATCTTAATATAAAATTCACTTTGTTTCAGGTGGAGACAAAAAATTTTGTGATTTTATACTCCTTGAAGCCTGCACTTATAATTTATTGCTTACTAAGACTATACTGACTTTTGTTTATCAAAAATGACAAACAACAATGTTATAGGGGTTGTTGCTGGATCAACCCAAACTGTTGTACCACAAGTAGAGAAACCATGTAAATTCATTGGTGTGAATTTCAAATGATGGCAACAACGGGTATTTTTTTGCCTTACCACTTTTGGTCTACAGAAATTTACCAGTGAAGAAACTCCAGTGTCTGCTGCTGATATGCCAGACAGAGAAAAATTCATGATTATTGAAGCATGAAAATTGGTAGACTTCCTACGTAAAGACTACATTTTGAGTGATTTAAAGGATGACTTATATATTGTCTATAATGAAATAATATCTTCAAAAGAGTTGTGGATGCACTTGAGAAGAAATATAAGACAGAAGATGCATGCTTGAAAAAGTTTATGATCACATAGTTTTTAGACTATAAAATGATAGATAGTAAAATTGTTGGATCACAAGTGCAGGAACTTCAACTTATTCTCCATGATTTGGTTGCTGAAGATATGGTAGTAAATGAGGCTTTTCAAGTGGCTGCAATAACCGAGAGGTCGCCTTCTTGGTGGAACGACTTCAAGAATTATCTAAAGCACAAGCGTAAAGAAATGAAGCTTGAAGATCTTGTGATTCGGCACAAGATTGAGGAAGATAACAAAAACGCCGAAAAGAAGTCTTGTAAGAGTTCAACAATCATTGGAGTTAATATTGTTAAAGAAGCTCCTCACAAAACAAAAAAGAGAAAGAAGTCCAATGAGCAGATGTCAGAACATGCCAAGCAGTAATTCAAAGGCAAAAGTCGAACTAACATTGTGGAAGAGATGGAAGATGCAGATAACTTGCGTGTAATGATCTTGGAGTCTAACTTAGTTGGAAATCCCAAGGAGTGGTTTCTCGACTCAGGTGTCACTTCACATATTTGCTCTACAAAAGAAGCCTTTGCAACGTACACTCCTGCTGAATACGATGAAGATTTGTTCATGGGAAACACAGTAACAACAAGGATTGCATGAACTGGGAAAGTAATGTTGAAAATGACATCTGGCAAGGTGTTGACTTTGAACAGTGTTCTGCATGTCCCTACTATTAGGAAGAATTAAGTTTCTGTTGCACTACTCGTTAAGAATAGGTTTAAGTGTGTCCTAGTTAGTGATAAAGCTGTAATAAGTAAGAATGGGATGTTCGGATGAAAGGGCTACCTCAATAAGGGTCTTTTAACTGATGTAATGGTTGTTGACAGTATTAATAAGAATTTTGCTTCTGTTTACTTTATCGGAGTCAAATAATTTATGGCATGCCCGTTTGGACATGTAAAATACAAAGCCTTGCAAAAATTGGTTGCTCTAAAAGTGTTGCCTGATTTTAAATGCGATAAATCGATATGCGAAATTTGTATAGAAAGTAAGTCCTTATAAGCCTGTTGAAAGAAATTCCAAAACTTCAGACTTAATTCACACATATGTATGCTATATGAATTTGACACCATCTCGGGGTGAGAAAAAGTATTTTATAATTTTTATTGACTACTGCACTCGATTTTGTTATGTATATTTACTTTATAGTGAGGATGAAGCAATTGTTGAATTTAAGCAATACAAAAATAAAGTGGAGAACCAATTGAATTTAAGGTGGGGGATATGAATCTCCTTTTGGCAAAGATATGTTTGGAATATGATATTAATCATCAAACTACTACACCCTATACACCACAGGCAAATTGTTTGGCGGAATGGAAGAACAAAACATTAGGAAATGATGAATGTCTTGATGATCAATTCTGATTCACCGCGAAATGTTTGGGTGGAAGTCATCCTTACGGCTAATAAGATACTCAATAAGGTATCCCATCCAAAAACACAATCAATTCCACTTGAGTTGGGGAAAGGAAGGAAATCCAACTTGAAATATTTCAAAGTGTGGGGGTGTTTAGCTAAGGTAGAGGTTGCTTTACCAAAGAGGGTTAAAATTGGACCAAAAACAGTAGACTATGTATTTATTCGATATGCTGTGAATAGTAAGGCCTGCCTTTTTTTGGTTAACAAATATGATAATCCTGAGATTCATGTTAATACGATAATTGAGTCAGATAAAGCAGAGTTTTTTGAAACATATATCCGTATAAAACTGAATATGCGTCTACAAGTGAAAGACCTAAATGACCACGAGAAGAATCAACGGAAAATACTTTAACTAGTGAGGATCCTAGGCGTACTACTGACAAACCAACAGAAACCTGCCTCTTTTGGACCAGATTTTGTGGCACTATTGCTTGAAAATGAGCCTCAAACATTTAAAGCAGCTATGTCTTCGTATGAATCAACATATTGGAAAGAAGCAGTCAATAGTGAGTTGAATTAATATTTAAATAATCACACTTGGAAATCGGCTGATCTTCCTCCACGAAATAAACATTTAGGATCAAAGTGGATCTTTAAAAGGAAAATGAAACCTGATGGGACTATTGACAAATATAAGGCTAGATTGGTAGTCAAAGGGTAAAGAAAAAAGGAAGGTCTTGACTACTTTGATACATAATATCCAGTAACAAGGATAACATCATATAGGATGTTAATAGCACTAGCAGCAATGCATGAGCTTAAAATCCACCAAATGAATGTAAAGATAGTCTTCTTAAATGGAGAGTTGGAGGAAGAAGTTTACATGGAACAATCTGAAAGGTTTATAGTTCCTGGTAAAGAAAAGAAAGTGCGCAGACTTGTGAAGTTACTTTATGGACTCAAGCAAGCACCCAAACAATGGCATGGTAAATTTGACGAAACAATGTTGGCAAATGGATTCAAGA